CACCCCCAGAGCTCACCCAGTACCCCCAGAATCAGGGCTGGGGACAGGCATTGAGCCAAGGACTTCACCAGCTCAGGACTTTGCCACCCAGCAAAGAGGCACAGCATTAAACACACACAGCTTGAATGCATCCCCTTCCTTTCTTTGATTTACCTGGTACCCAGAGAGGAGCACATCCAGCAGCTGCACCGAGCTGGCAGCAGAGGGTATTGCATTTTCAATCTGATTTATGTTCTAGGTGGAAAACTCAGCTTTTCCTCAAGGAAAAATGGATTAAAAGTGAATACATTCTCAACTTTTGCCAGTCCTGGGGAAGAGCCCAACATGCCAGAGCCCGTTTAACCAGGGCAAAACCTGCCCCCTTAATTCTTGAATCAGGGAGATGAAGGCAGGACCCAGATGAGACAATGGGGTGATGGATTCATTGCAGGGGCCCTGAGGTGACAACACCTGCAAGCAGGGGTAAAGCCACGCCAGCACCTTTAGCAGGGCTAGTGGAACATCAAGGGCAGCAAACATTGTGTAAGTGATGGGGAAATGCTCGCCAGCAGGAGATGGCAGCTTCAGAACATTGGGAATTGCCTTCATTATGGTATCCTTCTGGAAGGCCAGAGCTGCAAGCGAGGGGCTCAGCACCCAGCCAGCATCAAGGGACGTGTGACCCTGTGCAACAGGTCAGGCAACAGCCTAAGGAAAATGAAGGGAATGGTCCCCAGCAGAGCCACATCCCAAGGAGCAGCCTCTGCATCCCAACCCCAGGGTGTCTGCAGGAGAGGTGACAGCCCATGAACCCCCCAGCCTGGCTGGTGCCTCCCCCAGGGTGGGAACCACTGAGCCACCATCAGTTGTGGCAGGAGGACCCCATGTCTCCCAGTTTGCATGGAAGCAGTGAGCTCCAACCTCCTCTTCCCTTGGCGAGGAGCACCAGGAGCTGCCTCACTTCACACCATTGAACCATTTCTCTTTCTGGCATCACACACGGACAAACTCCCTGTCCCCAAAGGCACTGCTGGGGTCCCCATCACAGCGCATCCCACCCCAAGGAGCAGCCACCTCCCTCCCTTCCCGGAGGCTGTTCGTTAGCAGAGCCATGTATTTAATAATAGGAGACTCTGATTAGATTAGCAAGAGTGACCTTTTCCAGATGGATGGGATGCAACCACGGGCACCACACAGGAGGGGATCACACCGGAACATTCCTCCATGCACATCATGGGCTATTTTGGACAAGGAATTGCAGGAGGCAAATAAAATCGGGTTGTGCCATGTAAGGACCCTTTCCCTCACCCATCATCTCCTGGGATCAGGCCATGTCTGGCTGCCCACCCCCCTGTTAGCGTCTGGGGAGCTACAGGAGGGCATGGAGCTGGGATGTGCCAGTGCAATGCTAGGGATGCTCTGCAGGGACCCCACAGCTTGGTTGGTTTTTTGCTTTCCTGCTCTGTTTAAGATGCAGAGAAGCTGGGTGAGGAGCGACCTCAGCAGCCAGACTTGGTGAGGGCAATTCATAGCAGCACTTAGAGTAAGAGACAAAAAGCCAGGCTTCCAAAAATCCCTGTGCAATCCCAAGCCAGGGGGTTGCTGCCATCCAATTCCCTGCCTCAGTTTCCCCAGTGATGCAGCAGGGCTGAGCCTGGGGTGCAGCATCATGACACAGAGAAGTGCACACACAAAAGGATGGTTCTGGCCAAGAGTATCGAGGCACCTAATGCATCTTGAAATCCCCAAAGCCAAAGCCTGCAACAGATGCTCACCAAAATCATCACTCAGAGGATTTCCATCATGCCACGGACAGCATCCCTCATCCTCTTCTCTTCCCTCAGCAACACCAAGAGGACAAAAGGGGTAGAAGAAGAAGCATCACCACATCCCAGCATGAGCATCCTGCTGGGATTGCAAGGTATCAGGGTTGGGGAACAGAGTGGGCCCTGTGGGACATGCAAGGACACCCCAGAGCTGAAAGCCTTTTCTGTGGCACCAAAGGCAGAACTTGTGCCAGGTTTTACCCAGCTCAGAAGCTGGATCCTGTCCTCTCACCTGCCCATCAGGATGAGCAATGATCCTATCGCCCCTTCTGTGCTCCTGGCTGGAGCTGAGGCTGCTCAGCTGCTCTGACCCCACCAGCACGGCCGGGATGGGGGCTGTTAAATGAGCAAACGCCAGGTGCACGGTCCCGATTCAGGCATTAAAAGAGCAAAGGCTGGGCGCACGTTCCGGGCTCAGCAGCGAGTTATTGCATATCTCCACCTGCTGGCCTGAGAACCGCGGAGCTGGGAGATGTTCTGCGCCGGAACAAGGGATGGGGATGGTCCACATCGGTCCATATCCCCCGCTCCTTGCTGGGGTTGGGAGGCACTGGATGGAGGCCCCCACCAGGGATGGAGCCATGGCCACAGCATCATCCTTCACCCCCAGCCCAGCGCCTGCGACTTGCCCATGGTGGGAGATACGGGGAGAGTAGCACAGCCCCATCCCCGCCAGCAGCAGGATGGAGGTGCCGGGACCAGCACAGGACCCAAAGCCTGGCTTTTACACTGGGACAGACGCTGAACAACCCCAGCACCCCTGGACCACTGCCTCTGGGCAAGAGCTGCCTCTGGGAGAAGGCAGAACGAGGTACGCTGTGGGGACAAGGCTCAGCAGGCAGCACAGGGAAGGTGCAGGAATCCAGGCTCAGCCCCATGGGCAGCGCAAGGTATTTTGCAAGTGGGTGGCTAAATCCCCCTGTGCCACATCCCAACACGTCCCTCGCAGTACGATTTGCAGTACAAGCACACGAAGCACACCCCATCACACCACAGCCACAGGGCCCAGCCATCCATCCCTGCGAGCATCCCACTCTGGAGATGCTAAAAAAGCCCCTTTCTGGAAGCAGCTGATCCAGGGCCGATGGCAAAGTGGCTCCCGGTGCAGGCAAAGCAGTGCAACAGGGGCAAGGCTGGTGCTGAGGGCTGCTCTTGGATAAAACACAAGGGAAAAGGGAGTGAAACACCCCAGACAGGCAGGAGAGGAGGGCGCTGCTTTGCCGCTGTTTGATCCCCGCCACCATCCCAAGTGGTTTGTCAGAAGCACTGGGAGAACAATCTGTTCCCACTCTCTGCTTCCCTCCAAGACTTTCATTTGCCCAGGGAAGGCCACAGAGGCAGCTGCACATCCTAAAAGAGCCAAAAAACTCCTGGCAGAGGCTTCTCTCTCCACCAGCACAAGAATCCTCCCCAGCAGCACAGCGAGCCCCAGCCCCACACCCAGCACAGTCACCCCATTGCCTGCTTCATGCCGGCATCGCCACCATGGGGACTCCCAAACCCATCACACTCCCATTCAAGGGGCCAGATCCTGCCCTGGCACAAACCCGAGGCCTGACCCACAGGGGTGTTCGTGTCCCAGCAGCAACAGGGGGTCTAAGAAATGCGCGGGGTTGGGGGTGATGGGGAGCAGGGGCCGCAGCCAGCCCCTGCACCAGAGGCGATTCCCGATGGATCGCTTGCACAGGGATGTTTCCCGTCGCCCGCCAGCGCAGCCGCCAGCCGCCGTGGGGAAGTGCCGACCCAGACGGCTGAATCTCATGCAGGCAAACTGAGGAGAGGAAGGAGATGGCAATCCCCTACCGGCTCCAGTCTCCCAGACCTGGTGGTCCCAAGGAGAGCTCTGCAGCAATCCCTGCCCGGGCAGCACCCCAGGAAACACCCAGTGCTGGGGTACCGGGGGGGGCAGCATTTGCATCCCCAAAGGATGCTGTGTGAAGTTGCAGTGCTCACCAGTCTGGAGCATCTCTACTCCTGCTCCTCTGTTGAGGTCAGAGGCTTTGAAGGGTGGACCCCCTCACCAGCTCCCTGTAAGGCCCCCAATGTCCCCCCCCTTCATTTCATCGCTGTGGGTGAGCAGCTTCCCAAGCTCCTCAAAGAACCTGGGGGGCTGCAGATGCCTGAGAAAGCCCTGCTTGAACCCCAGAGTGCTTTAGCCGTGGGCTGCTGGGGTGAAATGGAGCTGGGCACGGTCCAGAGACCGTGGCTTCTGGGGGGGGGGGGTCTCAGTTGAGCTGGGCACCCCAGCCCTCAGCCCCCAGGACATTCCGAACCCACAGCCAGAGCTGGGCTGGCAGGAGGAATCCGGATGGTCCCCCCAAACTGGAAGCAGCCCCCGCTTTCTGCCCAGCCAAGCAGCTCTGACGGGGCATCGTGGTTTGACAATGAACCCATCCGAACACAACGCCCGTGGAATCCAGCCCCGTGTCCCCCAGGCTGTGCGGCCCCTCTCGCCGGTAAGACCCCCCCCAAGCAGCAGGTGCCGGTGCCCCCAGGGCTGGATGTCACCGCAGCTCGGCCATGGCACGGCAGTGATTTGGATGCAACTCAGGGCAAGTGAAGCGCAGGCAGCGGGGGCCCTCCCTGCCCAGGCCGCGGGCAGGGGCAGCACCACCAGCCCCAAACCCTCACCCCAAAACCCATGGGGGGGGGGGGGATCAGGAAGCAGCAGAGGGATGGCAGGGGCTGCACCCGCATCCCCACACCCCAAAGTGATGCTCCCTCGTAACTCAGCGCAGGCTGGGAAAGTGCCTGGGTGCGGGTCTGGGGGATCAGCGAGTGGATAATAGCGGATAAAGCCCCTGATCCTCCTGCTAAAGCAGCTCTGCATTAAGGCGACAAGGGGCAGGGGGGAGGACGACAGCATCCTCCTCACCCCATGTTCCCCCCCGCCCCGCCGCCGCTCCCTGCTCGGGAAACAGCCCCCGGCAAGCGCTCGCATAGCACAAGCTGTCATTTTATTAAGCCAGGAATAAACTCTAATCTTCACCCATTTCACTGGGGGGGGGGCACAGAGAACCGGCTGCGGGAGGATGGGGGGATCCCAGGCAGGCACAACGGGGCAGCGGCTGGCCCTGGATGGGGGGGTAGATGGGGCTGGAAGGGGAATATGGGTGCAAGTCCCCCCAAGTATTGCAGACACACACACACACACACACGGATCGCTCCCCCCCTCCCGGTGCCGGCGGCACTTACCGGGGAGCAGCAGGGAGCAGAGGCAGCAGAGCAGGGCGGCCGGCCCTGGGTGCATCTTCTCCGGAGAGGCCATTGCGAAGTGGGGGGGGGGGGGGGGGGGGAAGGGAGCGGGGCGAACCCCGAGACACCCCCGTAACCAAAAATAGTTAAAAATAATAGAAGAAATCCAAACCAAGCACCAAAAAGCCGCAGAAATCCCTAAATCCAACCACGTGCGAGACAGGAGCAGCAGCCAACGGCGGAATTGCGGGGGGGGGGGGGGGGGGAAGGAGAAGCCGGATCGGGTTGGGGGGCTCTCGGCTTTGCTCCCCCAGCTCAGCGAGCAGAGCACCCTATCTCCGGCCCCCCACCCGCACCCCAAACCTGCCGCAATTCCCCCCCCCCCCCAGGTGCCTGCAGGGCGACCGGGGAGCGCCCAGCCGGTGGGGGTGGGTCCCCCTCCTCTTCCTCCTCCTCTTCCTCCTCAAAGCGGGGTGGGAAAGGGGGAGCAGAGCACGTGTAACCCCTCCCGGGGTAGAACCCCGATGTGCTGCTGGAGGATGATGCTGCAGGGCGCCGGCCCCCCTCGCACGGGGATGAGCATCAGATTTCCAAGAGCGGTTCTTCAGGAAGAAATCAGACTAAAAACCCGAATTAAAGCGCTCCCCCCCACACCCCCTCCAGGAAAACACAAACAACCGTAACGAAAACCACAACCCGAAGCAGGCGGGTGAATAATTAATCCCAGGCAGATGCAATTAATCAGCGGCTGGAGCAGCTCAACGGCGGAGTCCCCGCATCCGAAGGCAAAGTTTGGGGGGAGCGGGGCCTCGGCTCAGCCGCTGCCTCCCTGCGACGGCTGGAAGCGGGGGGATCGAGCCATAAGCAAGCAAAGGAAGGGGGTCCCCGCTTCCTCTGCTCCCTCCGTCGGATTAAAGCGGGGGGTGCACCCCCTTCTGCTCGCAAAGGGAATTAAGGAGGGGGTGCAGGAGGCTTGAGGGAAGCTGCAGGGTTGGGGGGCTCTGCTCCTTGCCCCCTATCCGGGCCGCCCCCCCCCCGCCTGCCGCCGGGGGGGCCCCGCAGCCGGGCGCTCCCGTGGCCGCTCGCCCGGCCGGAGCCGCATCGGGCTCCGGTGGGTGCCAGCGAGGGGAGGGCGGCAGAGGGAGGCGCCTTCCTCCTCCTCCTCCTCCTTCTGCCCCCCCTCCTCTTCGGGAGAGGAGGTGGAAGCGGAGCAGAGCCCCGCTCCCCTCCGGTGCTGTGCGATGTGATGCGATGGCAATGGATGCTGTGCAATGCAGTGCAGCCCCGGACCGCCCCCCCTGCCCAAGCAGATTCCCAGTTGATCCCCCCCAACCCAGCACCCCTGGGGTGCGGCGGGGGGGTTACACTGCCGGCCCTGCCCTCCCCTGCCTGCCGTGTGCCACCAGCAGCACTGCAATGTAAGGGGGTAATAAAAATGGGGGTTGAGGGCCCCCCAGGGTGGCTGGGGGGAGCTGAGAGGTGAGGAGCATGGGGAGCACACCCTTTGTCACCCCCGGGATGGACACATCCAGCTGGGATTGGTCACTTCTCACCATCCTGGGGGGCTTGGGTCCTTCCCCCATCCCCACTGCAGCCAGGGTGCCCCTTGTCTCCCTCTGCAAGTGCCACCCAGGGGGTTCAGCCTTGTCACCCCACTCCCTGCAGCACTGTGCATACAAGGCTGCAGCCCCCACACATGGCTGCAGGTGGCTGGGGACCCCCTGTGTCCTCACTGGGGATGGGGGATCAGCCACTGCATTGCCCCTGTCCCTTATGGGCTGCCCGGTCCCCTCCACACCACACATCCAGGGACCCTGTAAGCAGGGCTGCGCAGGGATTTTCTTTGTCCTGGCTTCTCACTGACCATACGGAGCCATGGGAGAGATGGGGTTTTGGGAGCAGCACCGACTTCACACCCTGGGAATGAGGGGAATACTCCCCTCAACTGCATGGCACACAGTGGAGATGCCAGTATTTGGGGACCGAGTCCCCGTTGCACCCATTCCCTACATGGTTCACACATCCCTGTGAACACGCACTGGGGTCTGGTGCCCAAGCTCAAGGGTAGGTTTTCCTGCCCCCACCAGCCCCAGGAGCACCCTTCTTGCTCTCCTGCTGTATATTCCCCCATCTCCCTTCACCAGGAAATATTGGCCAGCACGTTCATCCTGGCAGCCTCATTTACAGTGGAAGTGCATAAGACATCTCCATTAATGCCAAAATAATTCACAGCAATTAATGGGATTGACCTTGAGCAGTGACAGGAGCTGAAGATACCCCAAGAAGCTGCAGCCTGGTAGTGCTGAGGAGGGGGGACTGAGCCCCTGTGTATCCCCAACACCTTTGGGTGCTGCTGGGAGGTCTTTGCAAATGATGCTGGAGGTTGGCAGAGGCCAAGATGAGGAGGGAGATGGGGTCTGCCCCAAAACCCACCTCCCGGAGCCCTGTGGGAAGGGCAGAGCATCATTTTAGGCAGACAGAAAAGGTCCATTTGCAGCAGGAGCAGCCCTGTGCCACCACCCAGTGACCGCCGCCTGTGTACATAAACCCCCATGATTTATAAGCCAATTTCCCGATTGCTTTGGGGACGGGAGGGCTGACTCACGGGCCTGAATCCCCAGGGATGCTGGAGCAGCAAACAGAGGGAAGCAGCGGCCGGGCAGTGATTCATCCCTCCCCAGAGAGCAAAGGCGCAGAGCCTCAGTTTCCCCATTCCAAAACAGGGATTTGGATGACGTTGGGACCATGCTGCATCCTGCCCTGTCATGGGAGCCTTTTCCTGCTGATGGATGAGGGCTTTTAAAGCCGGGTGTTTGGGTGCCATCCCTCCCGCCTTCCCACACCGCCGCTGGCAGGTTCTTGGCACCACTGTTGGGATATTTTTCAACTCTTACAGAAATAAGTATTTTTACCCCAGTTGGATTTTATTTATGGCTCCTGCTTTGGCAGACAGAGGGGCTGGGGTGGGAAGGAAGCTGTAATCTCTCTTTCTCAAGCGAGGACCAAAGCTGGGGTTGCCGCTTGTACTGGGGAGATGCCGGAGACAAATCCTGTTGTTGCAGTGGGAGCCTGGGCAGGGAAGGTCAAAATGTGACTCCAGGGAAGGGTCCTGTCTGTCTTTGCGGGGACCCACCTGAGCATCTCCTGCTGTTTCAGACATACAAAGCACTGGAAAACCCAAGGATGGATTTCCCAGCACCAGTGACCTCCCACTACACATCCTGTTCATCCCCAACGGCACTGGATTCACTCCCAGTGGCATTGCATCCACTCCCATCACATCCACTTCCATCACAACATCACCCTACATGGGGAAGGATTCTGGGGTGCAAACCCTATGGGCTGGGGGCACTTTGAAGCCATCAACCTCCATGTGGATAAATCCTGGCTGTGGGAGCAAACCCCAATCAGCAGCACTTGTGCAGAAAGCATCCACAGTGCCGGGACAGCCCGGCCTCCCCTTGTAATCCCTGGCCTGCATTTCACCTGCCTGTAATCCTGGGGCAGCACTAATCACTGGGATAACAGTGCCTGGTAGGTGGTAATCACCAAATCCAGCCCTAATCCCTGTGGGAGCTTTTATGGAGGTGTCATGGGGGAGACGAGCTGCTGAGGCAGAGGGCGCAGGGGCTGCTGTGAAGGGACCACAAGTGATGGACAAGGGGTCCAGGGGGATGCATCTTTCCCCTCACACTGGGGAAACTGAGGCACCCACAAGGATGATGCCCACCACAGCTCATCAAAGCTTTCCCCAGCTCCACTGCATCTCCCACTGTGATGACACAGTGGAGCCATGAAAGGCATGGAGCGCCCGTGGGGTGCAACGGGGAATGGGGCATGGGAAAACACAGCACTGAATCCCACATTTTGGGGGGGTTTAAAGCCAAGAGCCAGGGGGTTGCACCAGGAGGGGACAACCTGGGCTGTTATTTTTCACTCCATAACCTCCAAAGACAATAAACCACCTATAAACCAGCAGGAAACAAACTGTAAAAGGCCTGGGAACGCCCCAGGACAGTGAAACCCTCAGTCCAAGCCTCTGGTTTTCCCATTATTTTCCAATAAAGGTTAATACAGGCAAAGAAGTTCCTTGCCCACAAGCAGCTCTCTCCGACAGCAGCTGCCTTGTTAGCGGCTGGAGCACTCACACCCTGGCCCCACAGCTAATTCTGCCCAGGAATGGCTGATCCTGGAATGTGATTAAATATATATATATCAATTCACTCCCCTTCAAAGCAGCACCCGAAATACATTTGTATCATCTGCCTTTCCTTACAGAGCTCGGATAAAGACACAAATATAGAAATCCTGTAATTGCCATCAATTAATATTATATTATTATAAAATAAGGGGGGGAAAAAGCCTGTTATTGCAATTAATTGTCCAGCTGGTTTCCTCGTGAGGCTCATGGCTTGTTATGTGGCTCCATGGTTCTGTCCTGCTCTTCCCTTCTATCTCGACCCACTTGGGGACTGTCCCTACCCCAGGGCCTCCCCATAGGTCTTTTCTCCTCCTGGGGTGATGCTGGCAGAGGGCAACGGGTGGGAGAAGCAAGAAGCAGGCTGATATCTCAGCGCTGAGATGCTGGAGGTCCAGAGCACACCCCACGGCACCCGTGACCACAAATTGTTTTGACTTTCCAGTGCCCCAAAGAGTGTAATGGTGCATTAGATATCGAATGCAATATTTATAATATTAAAATGAATATTTTAATAGCGTATAAAAGTAATGGAAGGGTGAATCAAAGCAGTAGCACCAAAGCCCTTTCCTTCTTGCGAGATAAAAACGTTTCATTTCAATTTTACTGTTTGGATTCGTCTTTGCCTCGAATTTTACATTCTATTAAAATATTAATTCCAGCCTATATCATAGGCCTTTAATATTTTATCTGCTATAACAAGTCAACATTATCAAAGTTGTTGGGGCTCAGCATGGGGGAATGGGGGAAATGAAAGGGTCCCCTGAGCAGGAAACCCTGCAGGCCCAGTGGTTCAGAGGGGAACATCTCAATAGAGCAGCAGTGATTTTCTTTTCCCCTTTTCCTTACAAAAAAATCCCTACTCCATGAGGAAATTTCTCCAT